CGCCCCTCACCTGCCGCCTCGGGCCGCCCGCGCCCGCCGGCAAACACTGCCGCGTTGCCACGGCGACGGCCCCACTTCCGGTCGCGCGACAGGCCCCGCCCCCCCCGCAACCACAGAGACGAATTGGCCGGAGCGCCGTCGGTCACGGTCCTCCAGCCGCCATGTCGCGGCCCGAGGGCTGACAGGGTCGGGATCCTGCCGGGTCCCGGGGAGGCCGGGGCCGCGGTGGACTGCCCGGCCTGGCTGCCCCGGCCCAGCAGCGGCCTACGGGATGGGTTCAGGGATGGCCGTGACCACCTGCTGTCTGGAGGACATAACCAGGCCCGGGGACGGCCGTGGTGGCCACCCAGTGTGGGCTCAGGGCATGGAACCAGGCCCGGGGACGGTCGCGACGCGCTGGTGGAGACGGGAGAGGGACATACCTGAGTCGCCGTGCCCCCCTTCGGGCTCAGCGGTGGGATGGGGCGTCGGGGCCTCGGTGGCGGCATGGGGGCATCCCTCCCATCTCATGCGGGGCCGGAGCCTTTGTCCTGAGGGGCACAAGGAGATGGAGGTGGTGGCAGCACCAAAACCAGCCCCAAAACCAACTGCTCCAAACCCTGTGAGTGTGATACCAAGGTTGCCCCCATCCCTCCTGCAGGAGCTCTCCTTTCCCCCGTCCCACCCAAGGCAAAACCATGCTGTTGTCACCCCACTTGAATACCAAAAGCCTTTTTTTTTAAACCCTGAAAAAAATACGGTGTTACACTCTCTCCTGAGCAAAGGCAGCAGAACTGGAGCAATGTGACTAGGTTTTAACCCTGCCATGACATCAGTTTCACGACAGTGTGATTGAACAGCTTCAGCTAAGCAATCACTGAATAAAACCAGACAAATAAACACCAAACTCCTTAGTTTTGATGACAACACCTTCAAAAAACAAAAGATGCTTTACGCACAAGATCATACAGGGACCTAAACCAACTTCTCTGGGGGACTTCTAAGCTTTCTTTGTGCCAGGAGAGCCACAGCCTGCAAGCTTGGCATCCCGGTGTGTGCTGGCAGGGAGGGGGAGTCCTCCCGATCCCCCGGGCTATAAACAATCCCTGAGTCAGTTTTCATTGTGGGAACACACCACGTAATGCTGACATTTCCATCTCTCCCCATTAATCCCTTTTTAAACCCACTTCTAGTTAACCAGATGCTTCTCCCACTAACAGATGCCCACCAAAGGCAGCAAGAAACAAGCAATAAATAACTTAAGATAACTTATCTACCCTGCGAGCGGGGAAAGATCAAGGCGTACCTGTGCACTAAAAGGGTAAGAAAGGGTTGCATATCAGCTCATTCCATCCACAGGACGTTCAGCAGTATCGCAGTATCGTGTGGAAGACACGGGCTCTGTAGATCAAAGCACCGGGCATACTTACATTTCAATAAAGCCCTGAACAAACAGATGTGCGGGTTGATACCCCTCTTTGTTTGCTCCATAGGAAGGCTGAGAAGTTTCATATTTCCAATGGGATAATAACTTCCATGGGTGGTTTTTAAGCCCTCGGGTTTGTGGCTCAATTAAAGAGGGGGTTTAGCTTTGTGTGCTCGCTCTCCTGAGATCCTCCGCAGAGAGGGAGGACTTAAAATGAGGGGATTTGGTTAAAGCCACCTGTGGATCCCCAACCTGCGTGATCCCAGCCCTCCGGACTCTGTTTAGGCCCCTGAATGGTGCCTTTCACAAAGGTTTAGCCAAACTTTACAGGAGAAACCCAGGAAATCAGGGCCAACACAGCAGCAAACGCACCCCGAAGGGCAAGGACCTGCAACGCCAAAGCACGCGAGCACGAGCAGCGCAGATAATGAACACCACAATGGGAAAATCTTCTATAATGGAAGTTTTTTGTGGATGAGGTGGGAAGGGGATGCCTAATCATCAGGGATGCCATGGTTTTAAAAGTCAGGTGGGGAAAGCAGGGGGATTGGGTGTCAGTGTGATGCCCATCAGTTTGCATCGTGGCATTTTGAGGTAGTTTCTTGTGCAGGTGGTGAGGGGTAAGCCACTCGGCACGCCTGAGTGGGGAGCAGGTGAGCTGTTGCTCCCCATCCTTTCCTTATCAGGCTTGGATGGCTTTTTATTCCACTTGGCAGCAGGAAATAAAAGGTTAGAGGGAAGAAGAGCCCCAGGACAGACATCTCTGCTAGCCTTGGAGGACAGCTGGGAGGTGACGTCCTTTCCAGTGAGCAGCTTTGGTGGCTCTCAAGAAATTCAACAAGAGGTTTTCTTCTTGAATACAGACCCCAGAGCCTTTTTCTTACAATCCCTCCTCTCAACCCCTGGCCAAATTCCCTTCCCTCCAACTGTGGTTAATTACAGAGGGTGGAGCCCCGCATATACCTCTGATACCGTGCATTTGTGTGTATTTGCTCTCGGCCCCACAGTTTCACAGGGAAGATAGCAGCTTTTGATCTTATCTCCTCTGGTTTTCTGCCTCCCTTGTGTCTTCGTATCATGTCTCAGTTATGGTGATTAAATAAACTGTATTCAAAAAGCATTCCAAGTTGGGTTTCCATGCCATTTCCAGCCTTTGCTGCTGCTGATTTAATTTTGCAGACCCCTTCCCATGCACTGCTGGGGTCTCTTATGCCCTGAGGGCAGGACAGGAAAACTACAGACCCACAAAATGAGACCGCACCTTTCGCTGTCCTCCCTTTGGCTCCCCTTGTGATTTGGCGTGGTGGCATTTGGATGCAGACTTGGATTTGGGGGGCGGGGAGGCAATTGCAAGGGAAAGAGCCAAGAGGAACCGTCTCCGAGGTTGCAGGGCATGAGTTGGCAAAACCAAGCAGCCACTTGAGATGACACCGAGGCCAAAGTGCCACCTCTGCAGCTGGAACAAGGATGCAGTGAATTCTGCAGTGCCAGCTCTGCACCTCCTGGGCATAAATCGCTTTTGTCCTGTCTCTCCAGCCACCGAATCCTGCAGCTTTTAAAACCATGGCCAAGACCTTGACTGGCCTCATCCAGAAGCTGCGTCGGCCCAAGATGGAGACAGCTTCATGCCCAGCCAACAAGCAGGAGCGAGATGACGGAGGGAGCATTGCCACTGGCCATGCTGGTGGCACACCGCTGCGGGGAAACTCATGTTTCTTGTAAAGGGGACGGATGGGAACCTTCTCCTTTACCGAGGGGCCACTCGGCGAGACCTGCTCTGTGATGAATAGCACTGTCAGCGCAGATAGAGGAAGGGGTGGACCTCGCCATCTATATAAAGCAAACCCACTAAGCCAGCAGTCTTGGAGCTGCGAGGTCCAGGCGGGGTAAGGAGAGGGGGGATTTATTGCCACGTTATTTCATCAGACAGCTTTGGGGAGTGGCGGAGGGAGGCTGCAGATGGTGAGCTTCTCCATCAGCCCTAGGCAGGACAACCAGTGTGTCCCTGTACACATCCCTGCCAAGCGCTGCATCCCAAAACCAGACTCAAAAGTCCCCACTGGGAGTCAGCTGCATGCACTCGAGCACGGTGATATCTTCACAATGCTGTATATCCACGGTGACACTAATGTCACCGTGCGGTGCTGCCGGGGTGCACCCGATCAGCTCTGTGCCCTTGGTGCGGGGACGGGGGCAGCATCTGTCCTGCCCCCAGGGTGCTGCTCATTGCCAGCCGTTGCTGTTTCCTCCTTCAGGGCCAGCCTGAGGATGAAGAATCTCCTCTTTGCCATGCTCTTGGCTTGCGGTAAGTGCCTCGGTTTCACCGGGCCAGGCTGGGATCTCATCTGCCTGGCAAAAAAGATGTACAAATCCAGAGTCTTTGTGCACGATTCAGGTTTTAGTTTAAATTTTGCAGTTTCTCTCTAATGCTTCATGTAGCACTGCTGTAATCCTGGAGGTCTTCATAACGGTGAGGCTTTGGGATGCTCAGATCCATATTTATTTTAAGAGGCCTTGGAGCCTGTTGTCAACTGCTTTCCTGCCTGTGCCAAGCCCAGGGCTGATCCTGGCAACGTGGCATTGCTAGTTGCAGGATGCAAGCGTGGCACAGCCTGTACAGAGAGCAATAATATCTTCTGCCAGACTGGAATCAGGTAGCTGCAGAAACCAGACATAATCCTGAGGGGTTTTTTGGGGCTTCTCATGTCTCACATGCCTGAAAGCCTGTACTTCCAGCAACGCCAGACCTATTTAATTCCTCTGCCCAGTGCGAGCCGTGGGGAATCCCACCTGCCTCCTCACCCTGCACTGGCGTGAGCCTGTCCCTCTGCCCTTCCACAGGGCTGCTGCCGGCTCGTGGCAGCGTTTTGGAGCTGGAGCAGATGATCAGGTCAGCCACAGGGAAAAGCGCCCTGCTTTCCTACAGCTGGTACGGGTGTTTCTGCGGAATCGGGGGCAGAGGGACCCCGGTGGACTCCACTGACCAGTGAGTACCTGGAAAAGAATCGCCCCTCGCTGCCCTGGCTGGAAAAGTGTGCTGGGGGTCCCTAAAAAACTCCTCGCTGGCAGCCTGCCGGTGCCGGTGTGCTCTGAGAGGGGTTTTTGTGCCGTTCCCCAGCCACGTCTTGCTGCTGCCTTGTCATCCTCTCCTCCCAGTCACCTTAAATTTGAGGCTGGAGCTTCCTTTACCTTCCAAGCGTGGTGAGGGAGGGTTCAGGGGCAGCGGTTTGGCATGGTGTCCCCCACAGGTGCTGCCATGCCCATGACTGCTGCTACAGGAAGCTGAGAGAGGGCAAGTGCAGACCCCTGATAACCCCGTACCACTTCGACGTTGCCGATGGAGACATCGTCTGCAGTGAGTACTGCCAAGATGGGGGGGAGGGGTCCCACGGAGGTGGGGAACCAGCATGGCTCCCTGCGACACCCCAGCCCCGGAGCAGGGTACACAGGAGGGCATCCCCCCCAGGGATGAAACCAGCCTGATGCCCAGTCGGGTGCGTACGGGAGGACACAGCTTACGATAAATAAATGGGCATTGCGAGGGATGCGGGCAGGTTGGAGAGGGCAAGCAGCAGGGCATGCTTCTTCATGCACTTCCCCCGGGCAGCTCCAGGCATTGGGGGTGCCCCGAGGGGACCCCATTACTGATGCCAGCCAGAAAAGCCACTGCAGAGCACGGTGTTTTCTCCCCGCAGGTAACGAGCAGAGCTGGTGCAAGAGAGAGACCTGCCTTTGTGACAAAGCGGTGGCTTCGTGCTTCTCAAGCGCTTTGCATTCCTACAATAAATCCTACCACTTCTATTTCAGGCTGAAATGCCGAGGAAGTAAGCTCCAGTGCTGAGGAGGGGAAATCTGCACGTAAGGTTGCAGATTTTGACTGGGTTTCCCCATAGCTATGGCAAGAAAAGCCTGATGTGGGGGCTGAATGGAGCCAGAGCCAGCATCCACAATGTGATGCTCAGGGTGAGGAAGGGCACACGCACGTTACGGATGGAGATCCCCCAGTCCCAGAAAATCATGTCAGCTTCCATTTTTTGTCCCTTCCTCCTCTCTTTTCTCTCTTAATTTCATTTCCCAGCAAAGATAATTAAATAAAAGGTATTCAAAATGATTTTCCGTGGTGTTTTTCTGTAAGAGCCACTGAGATTGACGCACTGCAACAGTGGCATCTGGGCTGCCGAGTTTGGGGAGCATTTTTGCATCTCACACCTTAGGCACACCATCTGCCTGACACCCCAATATTTCCATGGTCCTGACAGCAGCCTGAAAAAAGCCAAAGGTCCAACAGCGGCTGTAATTTGCAGGTCTAGCACCAGGTCTATCCCACTGCGGAGCAATATTGCTGCTGCCAGATCCCCAGCTACAGAGGAGCACTTTGCAGTGAGAAACGGGGACAAGTAAATGCCACCAAGTAAAACTCCATGGGGTTTGTTAACAAAATAATTCTCCAGCAGCGAGCCCTGATGGCAGTTGGGTTTTTTTTGGTTTCTCTGAACACCCCTTCCTGCCAGCTGAACTCACTCGCGGAGCTAAAACAAAATGGTGCATTAAGGGGCAGGTGAGATATGGCCAGAAGATGTTTTTACAGGAATAATGAAAGTGGGAAAATGTGGGAGATGATTTAGACCTTCCTGTGACACTTAACTAAAAATGGTGGCCAAAATTAAGGCTAAAGAATAGTTATCTGCAGAGGAGGGAAAATTTCAAAGCCTCACCCATCCTAAGGTGGATGCTAATTTAGGAGGGCAGTTAAGTTGGTGACTAAATGGTTTCTCCATAAGGGATGAGTTCTGCATAGGGGTTGCAAAGAGGAGGTGGAAAAACCATACAGAGAGAGATAAAGGGAAGTTGCATTCACTCATCCCAAAACATCCATTTTGCTTCATTCTCCTCTCATGGTGGGTGAGCGTTTAATCATCCGGTATCTGCGTAACGCCTTGTTTCTGGGAACTGCGCATTTAAAGATGCTTTTATTGTTGCCCATATACTTCTCCCAAAGAACTGATAACTCACCCTGAATCACCTTTGCAGCATGGCAGAGGGACAGTTCCCAAACCACACAACCCCTCAAAAACCCCAAACCCGCTTCGTTCACAGCTGCCGGGATGCAAAAGCTGAATCAGGGCTATTGTTTCCCCCTGATAGAACACCGTGGTGCTGGGGAGGGCAGAGAAAAAGGCCCACAGGCATCTCCCACGGGGGGACAGAGTGTTGGCTTCCTCCTTGGGCTGGAAATGATGCTGCTTTGGCAGCCCATCCCACCCAGCCCTGTGCATGGCGTACGGAGCTGGGGCATTGGGGGGGATTTCTTGCCTGCCTGTGAATGGGAAGGACGGCACCTTGTCCTTGGCAGAAAAGTCCTGTCAGCAAGATTTGGGCAAAACGAGCATCCGACAGTGGGGAACAAACCCTGTATAAAGAAAGCGCTGCGGGCTGCGGGGCCCTACAAGCAAGCGGTGGCTTTCCCAAGGTAAGTGAGGATAGAGGAACGCTTTTCCTCCCTTTCCTACTTTAAGCAAAAGCCACGGTGAAAGTGGGGAGTGAGGTCCATGCCGGGAGAGCAGGAACAAAGGAGAGCAGGAGCAAAGGAGAGGCTACCTGAGGTGCCAGCCCAGAAGGCAGAGCAGTGGGGTGCAGCCCTCGAGGGCTGATTGTTCCTCCAACTTTTCTTCCTTTCCCTTCATTTTGCTTTTTCTCACCCCTCCGCCATCTGATTCCCATCGCTTCCCATCCCCGACGCAGCAACGCTTTGTGCCGAAGCAATGGCGACGGGTCCATTCTTGCCCCCCTCGTCTCCCCTAATCCCCGGAGGTGGGGGGCATCTCTGCCCCCAGACAAGGGGAGAAGTATAAAAGAAAGTGGTTGATATAATGGGGAAATGGTTTGGTTTCCTCTCCCAGGGCTGTTGAAAAGATGAACTCTCTCGTCGCCTTTGCTGTGCTGTTTGCTTGGGGTAAGTGTCCTCGCTCGCACCGGTCCCACGGCTCCCTGTGCAGTTATATCCATGGAAATTGGGACCAGGCTGGTGATTTCTTAACATTTCCCCATCACCACCTCTCCCAAACACGCAACAACTCTCCTGCACTGAGCTGGGAATAAGTTTCCTCTCCGTTGCATCTACTTGTTTTTAAGACATCACCAGTCTGGTACCAGTTTGGGGGCCAGAGGGATGGGGATGCTGCTGGGGAGTTTGGAGTCAGCATGAGCCCCACTGGTTTTCCTCCCCAGGCTTGTCCCCAGCTCACGGGAGCCTCTGGGAGCTGCAGAAGATGATTACAAAGGCGACGGGGAAAAACGCCTTGCTGTATTACTCCTCCTACGGTTGCTACTGCGGCTTCGGGGGCAAAGGGCAGCCCAAGGATGCCACAGACAGGTAAGCACCCGCTTAAAAATCTCCATGCCTGAACACATCCTTACACAGTTTCAAATTTGGGGGGTAGGGGGGAAAATTTGGGAAAAAAACCCCAACGCCCAAAGCCTCAAGCTCCCATGCAGGTGCTGCCAGCTGCATGATACCTGCTACAACAACCTCCTGAGCTACCACTGCAATGCCAAGATGCAAGGCTACCGCTATGACTGGCACACTGGCAGCCCCTTCTGCAGTAAGTAGGACCCTGGAAAAGGGGGTGTCCCCACATCCCCCCCCCCCCCCCCGCAAGCCGGGGCTGACCCTGGGCTTCCCTCTGCCCGCAGGACAGGGCTCCTGGTGCGCCCAGCTCTCCTGCGAGTGCGACCGCAGCCTGGTCCTCTGCCTGAAGCAAAGCCTCGGGAGCTACAGCACACGCTACCGCTTCTACTGGAAGCGCCGGTGCTAGTGATGGGAGCCGGGATGCAGGGCCGGAGCACGCGTGTGAGTTCTGCATCTGGATTGCCCTACGTCCCTGCCTGCACGGACCACGTAATTGCTGCTGTAAATTTAATCAATGTGAAAATAAACAATGTGCTTAAACCTCCATGAGCTGCTGCTGGGCAAAGAGAGAAATCCCTGTAAATACTCGACATCATCCTCCCCAAACTTTGCAAAAACTCGGTCTTGGCCCCTGCGTCATTCCAGGCTGCAGCCCACGGGGAGGGGGGGGGTTGGCCAGCAAGGGAAGGGGCGTAGCATAAAGCGTTTTTGGGACAGACGAGTCATTTCAGCACTTCCAGTTCAGAGCCCACGGGCCGGACACGGAGGGCAGCCTCTCCCCGGGCAGACGGGCTGGCAGCGAGGAAGCGGAGCCGGAGCAATCCCCCGGTGAGCAACTCCCAACCTCGCCCCACTGCTGCGATGGGGTGGATTGCTGCTGCGGAAACAAAAATAGGGGAGGGATGTTGGGAGGAGGCAGCAGACACGCTGCCTTCTGCTGTTTTCCATGCCTGTAGATAAAGTGTCATTGCTTTCAGATAAAAACTCAGCTGGGAATTTGCAGCCCCAGGGGTTGCAAAGTGATGCCCTGGGTGCCAGAAGTGGTGGGACGGGAGGTGGGAGATGCTGGGGTGGTGGGACAGCTTCAGAAAGTGTTTGCTTTCGCCCAAGAGGCAGCAACACAGATGCAAGGGGGCACGGCTGCCTTCCTCCCTCCAAATTTCAGGGTAGTTTGGCCTGATTTCAGAGGGACAAGGCTTGCACAGCAGCGCCTGTCAACTGGTCACGCTGCCTGGCTAATTCTGTCCCCTTTCTCCTCCCAGGCCTGAGTGAGAGGAAGATGAAGGTCCTGCTGACGCTGGCGGTGCTGTTTGCCTGCAGTAAGTGCAGCCGTTCCCCGATCCGCGGATGGGAGCCAGGCTGCAGCCCCGCGCCGATGCAGGGAGCATCCCCAAACCCCTGTGCACTCCACGGGGAGACTCCCAGCAAAGCCCTCCTCTCTCCCCTGGTTCCCCGGGCCTTATTTCTGCATATAACTTGCAAAAATCCCATTTTCCGGTTACTCTAGGTGTGTTCACGGCTCACGGGAAGCTCCCACGCATGTTCACACCAGGACTTGAAGGAAGCACCGTAGGAAATCTGACCGCCTACGGCTGTTACTCGGGATGGGGCAGCAGCGGCACATCGAGGGCTTCAGTGGACCGGTACAGGCAATGCTTCCCAGGAAGGCTAACGCTGGCCCCAGGATGGCTAATGCTGGCCCCGGGGTAACCCCAAGGCTTGTGAGCAACCCCAGCAGCACCCTGTGAAGCTTTGCAAAATGCAGACCAGGCAATGGGCAGCAGCAGGAGGGGAACAAGTTTTAGGGAAGGGGGGAAAGCAAGGCGGCGTTCACCCCTAATTCCAGTCCCGTAGTCAGTAGGGTCGTGCCAGCGACAACTGCCTGAAGTCAACGGGATGGAACCAGGGGAGAGGGACAGTCCCAAAGCTGGGATGCACAAGGGCTCTGGGACCTGGGCATGGGTTGGCACAGGGAAGCGGAGAAGAGGCTTGGCGTGGGAACGAGGTGGAAGGAGCAGCTCCTGGATGATTTAGAGCAGGAGGATGCAAACGCTGGTATCTCTTCCCACCCAGCTTGCAGAGCCTGTTTCAGCTAGGTTAGAAGCAGCTATCACTGCGTTTTGGATGAGGCTGGGCTCTCCTTCCTTCTCCCTGCAGGTGCTGCTTGCTCCGTGCCTGCTGCTACGCCAAGCTGGCTGCACGGCGGTGCCGCGTGGGACCCATCCAGCCCCTCATGGTGCCCCGGACAAGAATCCCCCCCACCTGCCGTAAGTCCCTACAGTCACGGTTCGGGATGCTTCTTTCCAGACCATCTCCCTCCTTTGTGGTGCCCTTTTTTGGGGCAGCACCCCGGGGATCTTCCCGAAAAGAAGGTCTCAGACATGCTTTCTCTCCGGTCCCTGCAGGCTCCGGGACTTGGTGCCAGAGAGGTGCCTGCAGATGCGAGCAGGCAGCCTGGCTCTGCCAAATGCGTGGCCGGGGGTTGCTCCGGCGTCGCGGCAAGTGCCGGGGACGAGGCGGGCGGTGTTGAAGCAAAAAGCTTCTTTGCAAAACCACCTCCAGGCTGATAAGTAAAGGGACGGTGCAGCGCCGGGAGCGTTTTCCCAACCCTGGCGGGTCTCCTCCTCGGGGCTTTTTGGCTTTGACACGAGGACAACAACGCTCTAGTGAAGTTGCGTCATTATACACTGGATCCGAGGAGGGAGAGCAGCGCAGATGCAATGTTTCAGCACAGAAAAACAAGGGAGGGGTGGACACCTGCGCTTCGTCGCTGCGAAGGGCGAGATGGAAACCAGCGCGAGCCTCTGTGCTGACACTCATTTCCCCTTGGCTCGAGCTCCCCGTGCAGCCTGTCAGCTCCCTCTGCTTTTTGCTTCACCGCAGATTCTCTTCCGTTGCTCCAAAATAAAACCAGAGAGCACAAAACATCGGTCCTCAGTGTGATGTGACTCAGCTGAGCTCAGCGACCACCCCTTGCAGGCAGCGGAGGGAAGCTAGCCTCTTAGCTAGGTTTCCCATTACCCAGAAAAAAAATGACACCTGAGAAGTGATGCATCTCCCGCTGACATGCATCTGCACCCCCTGAATTTCCCCCCCACTTAGCCCTGAGCCTTCAAGCTCTGAAAATTTGCCATTGCTCCGAGACAGAGAAATCAAAGCTGGTGCAAAGGGCTGCAGGCAGGCGCAATGCTGTGGGAGGCCGGGGCGCTGGCAACCTTTGTTGCGACGGGGTGGCCCGGAGCTTGCCTCATGCCTAGTGCGGAGCAAAACATATTTCTCACCAGAAAAGAATGTTTTGGCCCAATTCTGCAACAACCCCGGGCGCGTCCCCTAGGAAAAGGCGGTTCAGGCAGTGGCTGCTTCCCCCCTAACCACCGTAGCATCCCCGCGGTGCAGGTTTTCTGCCCAGTTCAGCAGGGTTGACCCCCTTGGGAGGGCTCAGCAATGAAATGCCGCCACAGAAACAGCAACAAAACGCTATTTCCCCAGGGGCTGATGCCCTGGGCATCGGCAGCTGAAATTCCCACCCTGGCTTGCCCCAAAGCTGAAGTCAACAGCACCAGGAAATATCCCAGAAATGCTTCCCGCCAGCTATAACCCAGGCATTGAGCTCTACCACCCTCCTCGTCCCGCAGCGTTTAGTCCTGGGGGAGACGAGGAAGGAGCGGGCAGCCCTTCGCCCGACAGCTGCTATTTGCAAGGCATAAATCAAGGATCAAATCCTTGCTGAGATGGGAGAGGGGCCATCACACAGACAGCTTGCAGGCCAGGATGAGCTGGTAACACACTCTCCCTGTTTAAATTCTGAGTGAATTTTAACTATCTATGTATTTTTCAGCTCAGACATCTTGGCTGTACAAATCCGTTCATACAGAGCTCCAAGTCTGATGTGTTGGCTCAGATACTGCACCCCCTCAGAACATTGCAATAAATGGGGCTGCAAAAGTTATGTTTTGCATACTACAAAAGAGAAACAAACTCCACGTCCTCCCAGGAGGCATTCCAAGGGGGTCTTGTTTCACATTTGGAGAAGGGTTACTGCAAACCTGCTATACATAGAGGAGCTGGGGCAGAGAGTCTTTCACCTGGAAGCTCAGCCAGTTTGATGCACAAAAATATACTTTATTCCCTAGTGATAAAAACTGGCTGCGGACTCAGAAAATCTTGAATTATGGCAAGCTCTGGTTCAGCTAATTAACTCGCCGCTGTCCCAGGGGTCTACTTAAATTGGCCCAGAGAGCTGACAAGGCAAATGGCATATGCCAGAGAGGGGAAGAGATTTTGCTGAGGCCCTGACCCGAGTTCCCTTTTCTCACCCTTTCTCCGATTTCCACACCAGTCACATCCTTGTTCCCTGCCTCGGTTTCCCTGTCAGCGACTGGGGGGGATTTCCTCCCCCTGGCTCGGTGCTTGCCCTTGCCGGGGTTCCCCACAAAACTGCGCAGAGCCCTAGGCACCTGCAATGCCTGCCAGAAGAAAAGTGCTAAAATGATAGTTCGGCATCACCTATTTAATTAGAGATTCTCTCCAAGCAAGCAACACACCCATCCTCTTTTTTTACCCTTCCATTATACACCACTTGCATTTTTTTTTCCTTACTCTGCTGCTTGCCTTATTTTGCTTCTACATAAAGGCGAACCAGACACCTCATGCAATGGTCTGCAAGCATTGCCTGATGTTTTGAGAGCAAGACTATGCGCAGTGCCCAGTGCACATGGAGAAAGCGATGGAGCACCCCCATATACAAGGAGCATCTAGGCACTGACAAGCTCCTGCTAACAAGAAAACCAGCGTACAGGGCCCTTGCTCAGCCCTATCTTTGGCCACAGACTGTTCTGGAGGACCACTGGACCTTCCTCTGCTCATGGCACTGTGTCTTACCCACTTCGGTAAGTCAGAAGCAGAGGATGCTTTGCGCTGGCTGCATTTTCTCCCTGCCCACGTAAGTCATGATGGAAACAGCAAGATATGGAATGGCGTTTTCTAATCAAGACATCAAAAAACTAATAGTCATCCAGGAACAAAGTGGTTCCCATTCTCCCTCGAGTTCTCCCATTTTGCTCAGGGAGGCACTGGGATGCTGAGATACCCAGAGCTGTGCACGGACTTGACACCAGTCTGCCCCACTCACCCCAGTCCACTGAAACCTCCCTTGCAAAGGGCTCTCCCAGCATAGGGCGTCCCGCAGCTGGGGCCTCCAGCAGCACCGAGAGAATCTCGCACACATAGCGGGACCAATCTGGTGAGGATTGTCAATGTTTGCCCACTTTGGGTTCTCCAAAGGAGAGGCCCTGCCGAGTGGGTACACGGTGGTCATAAAAAGCGTGACTGGTGGCACCTCGGGCTCGCCCAAACACGGGAGCTGCCACCGCCAGACATGAAGCTCTTCTTGCTGCTCCTCTGCTGCGAGTACCCCCCGCACCAGCTCTCACCCCGCCAGACGAGGCGGTGGGGAAAGCCTGGTGCTTGCAATTTCTATCCATAAACAATTAAGTCGGGGAGGATGAAAATGCTCATTTTTGCTACGGAAGGGTGGGACGGGAGGTTACTTTTCCCGGTGCTCCTAACCCCGCATCTCCAGTCGTAGGGCTGGCCCCCGCTGGCTGCAACGTGATTCAGTTCGGTTCAAGGATTAAGCACAAAACAGGGAAATCACCACTGTCCTACAATGCTTACGGCTGCTACTGTAGCTTGGGGGGATCCAAACAGCCACTGGATGCGACCGACTGGTAAGTCGGGACCTGGTGAAGGCAGAGCGGGTGCCCCCAGACCTCCTCACCTCCCTCTCCCTGGGTACAGCGAGGGAATGCTTGCCCCTGCCCCTGGGAGCTGAGATAGCAATGCAAAAATCGTTGCTCATCCTTAACACCTCTTTAAAAGTTGCTTAGCAGCAGTAGCTGATGGGAACGGCACGCATCGGTGTTTCTTCTGCCTTTGTAGCATTAGGCAGAAATGCGTCAGGATCCAACTACCACCTGGGCTAATTGAAAGCAACCATGCAATGTTGCTGCAGCAGAGCAACGGGAAAGCAATTAGAGAGCTGTGCTGACGAGGCCAGAAAGGTGTGACTCCCCCTCCCTTGTCCCTACAGCATAGGCAATGCCGAGGAGAACAAGGCTGCTGCACCACCAGGGGCACAAATGCAAGACATTTCTCACAGGGGCTGTGTGCCACCAGATGTTCACTACCGTGATATCGTCCCCACCGTTCCCCATCCTGCCCTGACTGCAATTCTTGTGCTCCCAGGTGCTGCCATGCCCACAACTGCTGCTACAAGAAGCTGTCTTCCTCTCACTGACCAGTTCCAAACTGGTCACGTACAAATACTCCATCTGGGGAAGCCAGATAATGCAGTAAGAGACAGCGCAGGAGCCCCGGGCAGGAAGGCACAACCATCCACGCGCTCGGGGAACCTCTCTTCTGAGTTGTCCTTTAGACCATCCTGGCTTGGAAACCACTTGCTAGGAAGGGGGTGGAAATGAGGGAAAAGTGCCAGGAATAGGGCAAATATTTATTTGCTAGGACTATAATGAAGTTTAGAGCTTGGAGACCTCCCGAAGGAGGGGGCTTGCCCTTCCGTAGAGGCCAAATACTGAGGGTTTGAGGTGACCCTTCCATCTTGACCTGGCACTGCCACCCCGACTTCCCCAGAGCAAACACTGTTGTTTCATGGCAAGCAGATCAAAAAAAAGCACTTCCCCATGATCAAAGCAAATATCTATACGTACGCAGGTAGATAAAGTAAATTAAATGGTCCCTCCAGGGCCACGCGTGGTTTGTAGCCAGGTAGCTCCATGCACCAGAGGTAAGAGGTGGACTGCCCAAGACATCCCAAACTCAACACAGGGGACTGCGTACGTCGCAGGGACAGCCCAAAAGACATCCTCCAACTCTCACACCCTTCGCCTGACTCCATCTCCCCAAATTTTCTTCCAGAATCCACAACCCGGTGCAAAAGATGGAGCTGCGACTGCAACAGACGGGCGGGCAGAGTGCTTCCAAAGGACAGCCAGGACCTACCGCAACTCTTAAAAGAATTACCCCAACTCCCTCCTGCTAGACATGCCAGGCTCAGGTTAAAACCTGACAGAAACCATCTAAATTGTGGGGGTTTTGCCTTCCCTGCAGCCAGGCAGGGACTAGCCCAGCCCCGTAGCACTGAAAAGGCATCCGGTGCCTTTCCCCAGTGCTGGCACACAGGGAAAACCCACTGCTTGCGATTAAATAAATCATAAAAACAAGGAAATCCCTGCAGATAAAAATAAATTTTCAAATGCAATTTGTAAAGCGCATCCAGTGTTACATTCGTGTTTCAGGAACTGATGGTGGAAGGGGTAGGAAACAGCATGGAGCTTCACAGCTGATTTTCTGAAGTAAATATTTATACATGCACACAGTTTTGTATCTTTTTCTTAAAAAACATTTACCAGAAATGACATTTTAGCAGCTGACCTGTAAATCTTGAGAGCTTCAAAGAAGAAAAATAAAAATGAACAGAAACAGTGACGAGCTGCTGCGCCCCAAACCAGGCTTCAAACCCAGCTCCCCTCAAGGAGCTTGGCCACAACACAGCCCCAACCTGCTCCTAATGACAATTTAAGCAATTAATACTTACTAAAGCCATGAGGGAGCATGGTGGTGGTGATCTGAGGGGTTTGGGCTCTGCAGCAAGTCCTCACAGGGCTGAAGCTGCCTGGACAGGTCTCCTCAGGCTACAGCTCCCTGCAGCCACCTCCTCCCTCACCACAGCTGCACACAATCCACAATTAGCCTTAACGAGCCAGGGCCAGCTGCTCCTCACACCTGGGCCTCGATGGAGGCACCTCTAGTTTAAATGCCACCTCCAGAGATGTTTTGCACACCTTCAGAGCAGGGGGTCGTAAAATAAAGGTGCTTTAAGGGCATTTTCTTTTGAGTTTCACATCAGCATCGAGGGCTCCTGCCTGACTCCGTTAAGCATTTCATTGCAAGCAATGTCCCTACCCCTTCCTCACACTTCCCACAGTAAATGTGGTGCCTCTGTAACTTCGAAACACTTGTTTCTCCTTTTACTCATTTTCTGGTGCCACTCAAGGGCTTTGGGATGAGAGAGGAGAGAGCTGGGACATAGCTGATGAAGCCGATGCTGCCCTCTAAGGTTTGTGCCTGCAAACAGACTCCACACGAGCATAAACCATCTCCATTTTAGAGAACACGGGACGGGAGCACGGGTCATTCTTCATGCGCAATTTCCCTCCCTTTCTGCAGTTTCTGAAGCTCGTGAAAGCCAGCAGGTGAATGTATGCCCCAGCAGCCAGATTGCATCCCCAAGAAGGGTTCAGGTTGTGCAGACTCGTTAAATTAATCTGAAAGTTTTGCCTTTTAACCCACAGCGCGCCCTGTACACACAGCTCCACTCACACAGTTCAGCTGGCACGTCTTTGCAACCTTTATTGCACTCAGCATCCAAAAACCAGAGGTGGTTTGGTTTGGTAACAGAAACAGGCACCCGGCTGAGTCCCGAGGGGGAAAAGAGAAGAAAACTATCTTGTAGTTTCAACAGACTCCAACAGAAAAGGAATCCGAAAGTACTGCAGATGTGGATACCACGGATGATGTGACTTCTGCTGCTGTTCAGGCACTGCAGATAAGGCGAAGCTGTTAAATAAACTGAAAGGCATCCCTCCAAGAAGGAACGAGGTACACCAGAAACCGAGCAGCACAAGCACAAAAGCCCTCCTATACATTGAAAGGCCAAGACATGCTTATGGACAGCACGCAGAACCTGGTTAAATGCTTAAAACTTCCGGTTCAACTCAACTCCTTACCTGCAGGGGCAAGGATTTGGAAAAAAGAAGTCTGGGGAAGACGACAGTGGTAGGTAGGATGCAGGGAAAGCAGCTTTCTACATTGTCCTGCCGCGTGCTCATGTCCAAGTGGCTGACAGTGACCCTGCCGGTCCAGCAGCAGTCAAACACACCCCTGGCCCTCTGCCCACTGGTGACCCTCCACAATGTAAGCTAGCAGTGACTAACAAACAGTAATCCTCCTCAAATACCACGGGAACGTGCAGTGCTTGTTGTCCTATGACCAAATATTATGAAGCACAGTTAGCTCCACCAAAGAGCAAACACAAGCTGTGAATCATGATGTTTCTCTTCTCTTGTTTCTCACCTCCCTTCCTCCTGCAAGGAAAATCGATGACCTGTTTACAAAGCAAATTTTCTGCATAAAAGTGAGTTTCCTGAGGAACACTGCATAAGGATTACCTAGAAAAAAAATACACATTGTAAGGGCAGGTGGAAATGTCAACAGCTAAAGTAAAAATCTACAACAGAAAAAATGAAAGTTTTAACACCTTTGGATACAAGGTGTTTTTGCAGGTACAAAGCTATCCTGGCAAAAATAAAGAGTATTTGACTGGCCTAACAAGACTTAATGAGTCCAGCACATCAAGAGTTTGTGTTTTAATCATATTACATGTGGAAATGAAAGCTTTTTCAGCCACATATTTGGCTACAGGTATCAGAGGCCATGAGCTGAAGGTCAGCCTCTCTCTGCTACTTAAGACGTGTTGCTGTTGCAAGCCTGCCCATTTATTCTGGACATGGACGAAGCGAGGTTTTGCAGGTCCCTTCACACCCACAGAAGCTCAGCTTCCTCTCTGCTGGCTACAGGACAACTCCCTTCACAGCTCTCCAGGCCCAAAGCAACAACAAACCTCTTAGCTCTGGCTCGGGAAGACAAAAAAGCAATTAATTTAAGATCAAACATTGTATTTGTAGCATACAATTGCAAATTCTTATTATCTTTTCAAACTTGCAGAACCCACCTGCCTTCCAATTCAAAATACAGCTGGGCAAGGCAAAGGTGACACATTTACCTGAACCACCTTGCTACACCTACTGTCTTCAACTCATTACACCGGTGAAGTGACTTGCACTTTCTCCCCGTTAAGCTACGATTTGCCATTCTTTCCACTACTGTAAAAGTGACTGTCTTGGAGAAAAAGAATTCCAGGAAGCAACAGTGCTAACAACAGGCTATCCAAGGTTCACACAAAATGGATTTCACCAAAGTCGTTTTTCACTTTAAGAACAGTCCTGTGAATTCAAGGCTCATCCATGCCCTTCCTACCTATTAAATTCTCCTCAGACTTCCCTCTACAGCTGTTAGTCACACCTACCACTGGCACTTAGAGCAGCACTTAATACGCTGCTTCACTTGCCGGACACTATGTCCCACCATAAAGCACAAGAGCTGCTTTCTATTACTTTTTATTTCCACCAAGCTCACTACAGGAACCAAAGGAACTTCTTCACCAGCATTAAAGCCTGATCTCCTACACCACCGGTACTTAGAAGTAGAACTCCTTTCTTTTTATTCTTCAAATGCTCTTGATAAATAGTTGCAGAGCATATGAAGAAGTACGAGCTCAGATCTCGGCAGTTCAGTCAAAAAAGGCATTTGTACTTCCATGCTGATTTGGAAACTTCAAAGAATGCATAGAATTTTTTCAAAAGCAACGTTCCTTACATTCAGAAAATCTATTTCAGCTCTGCCCTGGCTGATGAGGTGTCTCCTGTTATCTAGTGTGCGTATAAGTGCACATGTGCTTTCTTCAAGCTTAGTGCTTAATCCAAGTCCAAAAACCTGAGTGAAGCTGAAACACTGCAAGCCATAAATCGAGGGCCAAGTCCCACAGTCCTTACACTTGAGTCCAAATTCACAATCCTATAGTGGAAAGCATCACAGGATTCAAGCTGTACTTTCTACAGTACTTGGTGACCTTACCAAAGAGGAATTTAAGATGAAAAAATCCTACCCTGGAAAAAGCTTGATTTATGAAGAGTGAAGTAGGCAGGGTTCCCAGTGATCACTGCTACTTGGAACCTTGTTCCCAGGAGTCTTGATCCTTTGGCTGTATTAATTTCATTTGGAGACTAACAACCGTCAAGTTCCTGGCTTGGACTAAAGCTCTGGAGCAGCCCAAAAGCTCCAGAGTATGGCAAAAGAGGATGAGATTCCAGATGTCCAAGTAACAACACTCAACAGAAATCTCATACCTGCTCGTGTTGCATTTTACAACCTCAATTAGACTTCACCAGATCAGATGAATCGTCTCTGCTGTCTCATGAGCCCACTGGTATTCCTTTTTCTTTGTCTCTACAGGTCTCAACAAGCATGTACGCAGCAATCCCATTCTCCCTTCATGTATTAATCACTTCTGAAACAGCCTAGTGCAACACAAGCAGTTCTAGTTAGATTAAAACTGATCACTGCATTCTTGCATGGGAAAAGAAAGAGGAATGTCATGTTTGACACAGTGTTGGCTGACACACTTCGCTTTGGAAAGGATTCTGGGAATCTGTTCCCTTACTTTATTTAAATTTAAATAGGAAAAAAAAAACCCACCATGTTCCTGAGTTGAGAATTGTTAAGCTTTCCCTGACAGCAAGGTAAAAATAAAGCTCCTCCAAGCATAACCAAGTAAAAAGTCACTATAAAAAAAAATAATCTAAGCACATCAAGAGATGTCAAAGAAAATCTGACACTGCTGTGTGAAGAAAAGGTTCTCACCTTCATCTAACTCCAAAATTATAAAAACAAGTCTCTACTTTTTGTTAAGTTCAAACAACTCTTCTCACACACAGGCTGATGCAGAATTACTGAACAATTGTTCGCCCTGCAGCCAAAGAAACAGGAAATTCATGTGTGCTTAGAGATCTCCGCAGAAACGGATTTGAAGGTAACAATGGGTGCCTGGAGATTTGCTTAAGGGGAGTTTTGTCTTCATCGGGTTTATTTGCTTTTCTCACCAGCGCACTCAGAACACATTCAGTCATATGTTTAGAGCTGCCATGGCCTTCACCAAGGTGACCTGGTTGTTTGAGTCTGTCTCTCTCCTGCTGCTATCTACACAGTTACTCTTGTTGGCCAAGAACTTTTGTCGGTGCCTTTCTTCCTGCCGCTTCTTCTTCTCTAGCCGCTGCTGTTCCTTCTTTTGTTTTTTAGATACCTGAAAGAAAAGGATGAAAACACAAAGTTAAAAACACACATTTTCTGCTTAGTTGGGGAAAAATAACACACTGTAAAGGAGACAAGCAGATATCAAAGCAGCTGCCAGAGAATGTTTATTCCAAACTACTTATCAGGACCTTATTTTGTATCATTTTGGGAGGAGTGCCACCTGTCGCTATTAAATGTTTGTATCAGGGAAGTCACAGCTATAGCAGCAACAAAATCCAGTAAGCAGAAGCTCTTTTTAATTCAAAGGTGAAGACAGTTGCAGATTAAGCAATCCTACACATCCCCCTAATCGTTAAAGGATGTGCAAATCACTGCCAAACCACCCTTCACATACCTTTGAGTTTCTGATAGCTCGATTCTCTTCATCGGATCTAGCCTGTCCTTTGTTGTTTTCTATTTCACCTTGATGCAAGTTCCGATTTTCAAAGATTCTTGAACCACTTCCATTTTCTTCCTGCAGAGTTCTGCTACACGATTTCTGATCTTTGCTCTGGGGATCACACTGCTCCTCAGTACCTACCAACAACAGAGGTTTTTCAGACACACTCTACCCAGAAGCTGTCTCGCTGTTTGCCAATTCCTTCTTCCAGAATTTCTGGAACAGTGGTTGTTTTTTTTTGGAAGCTGGATTGAACCCGCCCTCACTAATAACCTTCCTGACCACAGGAAGGCTGAGGTGGCAGCACAGTCAACAGTAAGCTTCAACTGCTACTGTCCCTGTTGAACTGTTTACAGTGAACACCAATGTCAGACAGCGTTATTCTGAAGCACCAGGGGACAAACTCCGTGTACTTACTGATTCTTTCCACTTCGTTCATTTGAAAGATGGCAAATATTGCAGATTCTATATTGTAGTCTTCCACTTCAAGAATCTGGCTTACTAAGTCAATGTCCTGTCCACAAGAGGAGAAAGAAAACACTGCAGAGAGTTCAAATCACTGACATACATTCATTTAACAACCATCTGAACCACTGAGAGGGGGCTGCTGTCTGCTTTTATGACCTTTCAATTAGCCTGTATTCCATTTCTGAAAAAGGTGAGGGAGAAAATCTTAAAATCCTGAAGATATCAGGAAAAAGGAATATGTTGTTTCAGCGTAACTGTTTCACTCTTGGCCCTTTCTATTCTACGCATTTGCACAGTGCAAGCAGCAATCTGCAGGAACCACACAGGCTATCCAGTGACAATGGCTAAAATTCACAGATTATCTAGTCATTTGGGATGTTTAACTACCGACATCCTCAAAGGATTTCAAATCCTACAGAATTTGTTTCAAAGTGAATTTTCTGAGAGAACACAAGACAAACCTTCCAAAATTATTAGCTGTCCACACAGAGTACATATTTCACGGGCATTTAAGGAACAAGTCTAGGATTAAATGCATCCTTATTTATGGCTGTGACACTGAAATTGTCCACGATGAGTGTTTTTTTGCATTTTTCCTCACAGCTACTTTCATGTATCAAGAAGGTTTGGACATTAAGCACAAAAAGGCTACTCAATACTTACTGAACATCCAGTTGCATTACACACTTTTTGTATAGCATCTTCCATTTCAACTTCAATCTCATCTTCAGAGTCACCCTTCTGTGGCTTCACTTCCTCCTCCTTATTTGAAACATTTTTGCAAAGCATCTGCAAGAAAAGCAAAGCCCAGCAGATCACACAAGCATGCAGCAATCTCATCAGATGCAGTAAAAACAATCTGACATCATAATAAATTTAATTATTATGGCACACTTTTCTCAGAAGTATCTTGTGTCAAAGCATCTTGGAAATTGTGTAACTTCCACCACCACTGACACTGTTTCCCATGACTCATACACTAGAGAGCAAGTTCTCACATACTACAAGATCATGCATACCAATAAACAATCCTTGGCTTTTTAAATGGAGTATTAATTTTATTACAATACTACACATTATACAGTTATGTGCAGAGAAGCTCGATGACAGCACAGCTTACTCCTTAACACAAAAAAGTGAGATATGAAGAGGACTACAGAATCCAGCTGTTGCATTTACAGCTCTTTCCTTCTTTCCCTTTGTTTTTGCATTCAAGGTGCATGAGTATGTAATTTAGATGGGGTTGCTTCAAGGCACCTACAGCTTGCATCACAGCATCAGATTTGGGATTGATTTTCAGCCCAGTAATTTAAACGCTGTCTCAAGAGAGCAGGCAGCACTAGTTACAATGACCTTAGATGCTCTTCTATCCCCAGCATGACACAGGGACCAAACTCTTTTCTCAATCTCAATGCAAATGAGAAAGGAAATCAACTGGTAACATTCATCTGTTTTATTTATCACCCACAGCTGACTCAGGTCATCCTGTCATAACCAACCTCCATCTGAAGATACGCTGGAGCTTCAGAATCGTCATTGATTCTCCTCACGCTGTCGTAGTGCTCTCCATAACGATACGCAATATGAAGTTCCCTCACATTGTTTTTGTCTGTGCCCTGAATCTAAATGAAACAAATAAATTGCAAATGAGATTTTGGAATCAAATTCAGCATTGTATTTTTCAAAGTATTATTTTTTTGAGGCAATGATAACCACTGTGATCAGAAGCAAAGTACGTAGCTACCGAAGCATCTTTAAACAGGAAGTGTTGACCTAATAATCCAGATGTGCCTAGAGTAACAACAGAGCTTCTGTCTCAAGGATAATGTTTGAAAACCAGGTACACAACATTGGGTCAGTTACATCATAATAAACAAAATATGGTATGAAAATATTTCACTGGAAAGCTCACAACTATTTTCTAAACTTTCCACAGGAGCTATTAGTTTTCTGATCATCTTTCCAGACCCGATTTCAGTGACAGCTCCCATTCAGTGTACAATGGCTTTTTCCCCCTCAAACGTGAGGAAAAAAGTCCATTCAAGTTATGACCACAGTGGAAACAGTCACCCAAGAGTAAGTTTTGTTCTGCAGCTGGGACAAGATGCTGTTTTAACAGTTAGCATTCGAAGTGGCTATGTTTTGTTTTTGAAAGAAAGACTAATAGAAATAAAGCCAAACCATGAAAATGTATTAACTCCATTCAGGAGCACTGTTAACAACCGAATGTTCCTTTGCTTGTCAGCACCAAGTACAGCAGTTTCCATAGAAAATTCCTGCTCTGAGTATTATCTGTACTGATGCAAGAGTAATTGCTACCCCAATCATCAGTGTCTCAAACTATAGCTAAAAGCTACACAGCATTCCAACTCTTGCAAGGAATGTAGACAATTACACTGCATTTGCAGATGTCCTTTGCTTACCTGTCAAGCCAGACTTCAAAGATCTGACAGCTTTCCTGGACAAGATGTCAGTAAGCAAATGACAAGAAATGCTTGCTTTAGGGCTCCAGAATTTCCCAATCCTTTTGCGTCTTTGAATCAACTTATTCCAACTTGCAGAATACACACCAAGTCACCTTTGAGCTACGTCTGCGGTTTATGTTGCACTAAGGACTTCAGATTTCACAACAGATATTCTCCATTCATCTATTTTATACTTGGTCACCTTTAAGTTTCAACTCAACACTTGGTTATACTTCACTCCTGCCTTTTATCCTATTAAGTTATTCAACATGTTGGAACTCAGCAAGATTGATTTTCAACATTTCTCCTCTGCCAGAGCCTAAACAGGTATCTAAGCACTCCCAAATCTCTTGAAAGATTATTCTGAAAATTAGCCAATTTAGCTCTCAGTAGTGAAGCCTCTTTTTGCATGCTCTTTCCACAATACACTGGAACTGTAAGTAAAAGATAGCTGCAGATAAAAAAAGGCAAAAACAGTGAAAAAAGGTAAGAAGTTATCCAAAAAGCCAATAAAATAACCTATACATCTGAGCTAACCTGAAGCTCTACATTTACAGTCACTATCAAAAAAGGTAAAGGGTGTTTAAAGCCCTAAAAAGTCCATGCAGAGATGCCCACCTCCAAAGAGCTTTGGATTAGGCCGGAGCCTGAGAAAGAGCTGGAGGTCCTGAACACTTCTGCTCACATTTTTCCAGCTTAGCTGTACTGGATACAAGTGGTTCTCTTAAAATTAAAGGGTAACTCACCATCTGCTTCAGAGTTGGGACCAAAGGAGATATTCACACCATCTGCTTTAAGCATCTTGCTCATCTGCCTCTCTGGAAATGCTCTCTTTGGAATCTAAACTTTCTAAAATTTTGCTGGGGCTCCAAAGCAGAGGTGGGCGGGGGGGACGACAGTATGTCGAAGTTTAGAAAATTAAGAAAAAAGGGTGTCCTGGGTTATTCAAGTCTAGCAACTTGCTAACATTATCACCATGTTGTGATGCCCTACATACTTTGATGTCCTGATGTATCCTCTGTGCGGGTAGGAGACTCCTTACGTTACAACTATTAACAGCTCTCTCTACTTACGCCATTCTCAAGAGCCTAAGACAACCTCTTACCAACAAGACTATGCTCAGGCAACACAGAACCTCATCACAAACTCTGTATTTACAACCCTGGAAATGTCAATGAATGGGGAAAAAAAAAGTTTAAGGTTTTCAAGAGAATATACAAAGTGTTGGTAAGAGTTAAGTACACTGAGGTGAGTGCCTGGTTCAAAACAGTAACAAAACATGAACAGCACCCCCATGAACTCTCCTGCAGGGTCACTACCTCTGTACACTCTCGCAGGTCAAGCAGTTGAGTATTTCAGTTAGCTTACCACCCATGGCTGCCATATAAGTAAGAGTTTAAACTTGTTTGGGTTCAGGAATCCACCTGACACTTTTTCAAATGTGTTTAAGACACCACTGACAGCCTTCATCTGGTCTTTTATCTTTATTGCCCTGTTTAATCTATATACTTCATTGGTTCTGTCTGTAAATTGGGGCCTGACTTGAATAGAGGTTCTCACTTGCTCAATGAACAGGCAGAGATCGAGCGTGGACCCCTGCCAGCATGAATAACAAAAAAGAGAGTAGGAAGGACCTGATGGACTGCTTGTTCCAGTGCCCCACTGTCAGAGGAAACCATACCATGCAGTCCTTTCCAGAAGCTGATTAAACACCACCTTAAGGCTTTAAAACTTCTTCCCTCTTCTGCCCGGTCCAGAACCTCATTTCTCCAACTATCAGAAACCTTCTCATCACAAATCCCATGCAGAATTGCTGGAGCTTCATTCCAACACACCGCAGGGACTGCCCTACTATACCTTCACTTCCATATTCCTGCCTGAACCTTATCGTACAGGTTTCCTTAAGGCTGGCTCAAATTCCTCTCAGAAAAGTCAACTCATATGTAATCTGATCTTCAGGAGAGAGAAACTTATCAATGAAGCTAGTAGCTTAAAACCAAACTAAAACATGCTGCTCTGTCTCCACATACTTATCTTTCATGCATTCATTGTTTTCTTTCATTCCCTCTCCTCCTAGCACAATCTAGAGTGTTGTCCTTCAAGGCCGAAAAAGCGAGCACAGCTTTACACTATGCCCAGCTAACTACGGCTACCGGCTGCTCTCTTTTATTAGATCAGGAAGTTTCAACACTATTTGTATTCATCAGCTAAAAATTAGGCCAAAATATAGAAGTTTTGTTTCTCACCTGCCACAGTGGAGCATTAAGCTGATGAATAACCACATTCATTTGATTGTTCCTTGCAAAGGCCACAATAGCATCGTTGCCAGCAAAGGTACCAGGCTTTGCCAAATTGGTAACTAAAGGAAAAAACATTCAGAAGAGTTGGAAACCTAGTTTCTGACACTTCCAAAAGCACTGGAGGGATAGCGAGTAATAAAATTTCAACACAAGCCCAAGAAATTCTGGAAAGGAAATCCCAACTGTGAAACAGTGACTGCTGCAGCAAGAATTTGGCAGCAACAGAAGTTAATGTGTCTTAAACGACCACAGAAACCTCTAAAAAATGCAGTACACCCTTAGATTATGCAAGGCCATCAGCTCTGTGTTAGCTCGGAAGGAAGAGTGCCATGTACTAAATAACCAAACCGCTTTCATGCGTCACCTGCATGGTACTTGGCACATCTTTGAAGCTGTTAGAACAAAGGCTGTATTCGTCATTGCTTTGGATCTTCCCCTGGGTTACCACTATGAAATATCAAGTGTCAAGGAGAAAAAGAAACCCAAAGAAATAAGCCACTCAACACCCACCAGTATTCACGGAGAGCTAGACAATTTTTGCAAGTTCCTTTTGAAAACACCAAATTTTTACTTCTTGCCTTTTTTTGCCTCTCTTTCTTTTTTCAAGTCTCTTCTAAATTTAAACAATTTCCAAGACAAATGTAATACAAGTTTAATAGCTCACCTTTCTACAGAAACGTAACAGAGAGAAATGTAAACTCACTGCTTCTAAAAACTAGAGAGGAATCCTAACATAGTTCTGGGATGAGGAACTGTTTAGTAAGAAGGTGCTCAAACGAGATGTAATCACATTACACAATAACCTCTTCCATTAGTGTTCTATGGAGACCATACCGTGTTTCTCAAAGGGTACATCATCCTCCACAAAAGGCTCAAAATCCTCCCGTTGCTTTATCATGTAATCCACCGTTTCCTGGCGATGTCTGAGGTGGTTCCGCGAGTGCCCCTCAAGCTGGTCACCGAGGGCCCGAAACAAACAATTGCTGCCGAAAGAGAAACTGCAAGTTAGTGTGTCTGAAAGGCCCCTAACAGATACACCATTAAATCAATGACCCTGGCATAGCAGCGGAAAGAATACTATGTTAACAGGAAAGAAAAAGAGCTGTGCTCTTTCTGCCCAGGAAGTTCAACGAGGATATGAATGTGAAGTAGCACCTATTCCCTGTGCTTTGAACGGCTGCTGCTATTAGAAGAATTGCTGGTAAGAACAGAAGGTTTTGAGCAAAGATGTCATCAACTCCAACAGGGTAAATCAAGGGCTGGGCCAAACTGTCTTAAACTGACACCAAGACAAATGCAGCAAAGGACAATCCAATGATCTACTACGCATCTTCTCAGCGGACACATCTAATGCCCCTTTCACCCCATACTTATGGACCTTCCTATGCTCCGCCCAGCAGGCCACTGGAACCTTCAGCCCCCCTGGGGATCGGGCCTAGGACTAGCAGAGCCCTCAGACCAGCAGGTGACAGGCCAAGAGAGCCATCAGCCCCAGGGGCACAGCCCCGCACAACCACAAAGCGGAACCCCCGACGCTGGTGGGGTACAGCGGGGAAGCCCTCATCTCTGCGGAGCACCGGCCCCACTCAACCGCGAGGGGAAAGCCCTCAGCTCCCGGGGACAGGAGCCCCAGGGATATCGGGGAGACCCGTCGCGGCGCTCACCCATCGCCCGGCACCTCCCGCAGTTTGAGGCCGAGGGCCCGGAGCTGCCTGGCGAGGCCCCCGCCGCCGGAGCCGCGGCTCGGAACCGGTCCGGCGGGGGGCTGCCGGGGTCGCCGTGCCTTCTTGGCTCCGGCGGCGGGCCGGGCCTTGCCCCCCTGCTTGCGGGACATCCCCGCCGGGCGCCCACTGCGCCTGCGCCGCCGGCCGCCCCTCACGTGACCGCGCCACCATCGAGACCGGCGCACGGGCGGCCAGAGCGCCGCCGCTCTACTCCCCCCCCCCCGGCGGATTCCTCCAGGAGGAGGAGGAGGAGGAGGAGGAGGAGGAAGAAGAAGAAGAAGAAGAAGAAGAAGAAGACGGGAGGAAAACTGAGGCAGGGGGAAGCGGAGGGCTTTAGGGATCAAAGGCAGCGGGAGTGCGAAGGGAAGGAGGGTACAGCCAAGTGTCAGGAGCAGCTGGGAGAAGGGTGACCCGCGGGGAAAAGGCTGGGGAGGGCGCAAAGGGCAGCACCGTCACCGACACTGTCGGATTCGACGCCTCATTAGCTTGTACTGTTAATTGCGCTGCTCCGTCCAGGAGCTTTTCCTCAGGGGCACGGCGGCAGCCTCCCCCCAGCACCCCACCGCACTTCGCGCCGTGACCTCCCACGGGTGGGCGCGGGAGCCCGCTCCCGTCGTCCACCGGCCGGAGTGACCTCGGCCGGCGCCGGTCCGGTACCGCATCGGCGCCCCGAACCGAACCGAACCGAACAGGAGATCGAGGAGGAGGGGAGAACGTGGGACTACCCGCGAGGTGGCACCACGGGAACGTGGCTGGCAGCGGCGACAGACCAGGAGGAGAGCTGAAACGGCGACAATTAATTAAACGCAATTAAGTGTCAGAGGCTGAACCGTCGCGTCCTGCTTCCCCGGGCACCGAGGGGAACCGCTCGGAGCCGCGGAGGGGGCTGGAGAAGGGGGCACAGCGAGAAGAGGGTGGCTCATCCCGAGTTGGGCTCTTGGGAAAGGTTTCCCGCTGTCCCCCGCTCTGCCCCGCTCTCCCACTCTTCCCACAGCGACCAGTTAAAGAAGTGGCATCCACCAGTAACGCCCTCCTGGGCTGCCCCCATCAACGCACCTGTCCTGTCCCTTGACTCCGGTTTTCCTTGCCCTGCTTCGCTCTGCAGGCGTCGCGACAGAACCGGCCTGGCGCTGCCAGAACTGCCGCGCGTCAGTCGAGTTCATGTCCAATTCCTAGCTCACTCTGTTCAGAAGGCGCATCCAAACGGCTTTGTGATGAACGCTAAGAAAACACTCCAGATTTGGGAACAGACACCGAGATAACGAGTGACTCGACTCCCTTGGCATCAAAATTACAGATGTGCCACAGAAGCACATCACAGACTAAGGACAAGATAAAAATCGCCAGATAGGATGCTCCTGTCAGGTGTTTCAGGTCCCATTTATTAGGGCAAATCGGCATTTTTTGGTACCAGCTATAAGGCTGCTTCCGAGCACGACCCACTGGAGCTTTATTCACCACCACCACCAACCTCCTTTTTGACCTCAGGGTAAAAAAATTCCTCATTCCATGGGACAACGCGGTGTAAATCTGAAGGCATCTGCCTGTTCATGGCAGCTCTCTGCTTCGCTCATACGTACGCTGGGTAATGGGGGATATGGTAAGAGGCTTCGCATCAAGACAATTTTTAAGGCATGTTTGTTTGGGTTTTTTTTTAAGTAAGTTCCTTGTGTCCAGAGTGACAGCAATCTGAAACACAGCTTGAGCACAGGAAGAAGCTCAGGGGACTATCAACAGTATCTTCTCAGAGGTTTTGAATATTATTGTGCTCAAAGCACTACGGCAAGTGAGGATTTTACCCTGAAATGACACAACTGCTGGCATTATCCATTTCCTGGCATAAACAAGTACGTAAGAAGCATTCCATAGAAACTCATTTTCGTATGCAAACATACTAAAAGCAGGAAAACAGGATGAGTATATAAACTGACTGCAAATGATTAATGGAAACAGTCATTAGCCTCAGTAGCGTTAAAGGGCTATAGGCAATTCAGTTACGTACAACCTGCATGCAAGCCAGCGAACATCACTCGTGACACCAAGGACAGAACTGAGTCAAAATTAGGACAGATCCTTTGACACTTGGCAGAAAATTTCATCAATGGAGGACAACAATGGACAGACGTTTTTAGCTCGATATGACCGACAAAAACTGGGCAAATAGAGCACACACTGCCTGACCTGCAGTGCTTAAAACACAGCTCAGGAATTGCATGCTTGCAGCCTCCTGAGCCCCTACACCAGGTCACGCTTCCTCTCCTGGGGTCTGTGATCCTCGTGGCAGTAAACCACAGCCCTGGGGAAGCATGAGGACCTCTCCGACCCATGACGTGCTCCGCTTCCCTTTCCCTCGAGCGAGTCGTCCTCGCTGCTGATGTGCATCTGTAGCAAAACAACCACGGCTCTCCACCAGCTCTGAGTTTCTAGCATAGACAGGCAGGCAAAAGTCACTCCCACGCCTTACTAGAAGACAGATCAAACAGACATGGAGGCATGGATTCATCTCATCTAGTTTTTAACTGAAATACTTAAGTTAGAAGCGTAGTTGCCCCTGTTGGTGTCTGTTCCAGCTTCCCAACACCTGCAAGCCAGTTTCATACAGTTCTAATGAGTAAGAATCTGTAAATTTTAAGACATTTCCATTTTGGGCATGGGAACTGACAGACTAAATTTGAAAATTCTAAAGCATTGTAAAAATGGCAGCTCTGTCTTCTGTTTTCCCAGATCTTTTCTTTCTAACAGCGTTAACTTACTAATAAAGAGGTATGTAAAATCCAATAGAAAATTCTCCTATTTTTAAACATAAATGAGCCTTGCAGTTCACCAGCCCACTTCCAGATGTTCTTGCACTTCAACTGTGTGTCCCACTTCTGCAACTGAAAGATCTTCAAGCTCCTGAAATTTCAGGTCACCCCAAAGTCCAGCAAACACTGCTATATGCCACATCAGCAGATATACAGCAGGAATGCCTAGACACGTTTACAAAGTTTCCTTACAACAAACCTTCTACTATTTCTCAGCAAAGAACAAGCTCTTCTTGCTTCATCCCCCCCCATCAGCAAGTTCACGAGATTAGAGTCTTCCTGAACTCCTTGCCCTCCTAAATTGCAGTTGTTTCATTTCTTTCTGCTGCTCCTCTGTTGGGAAGGACAGGCTGGTACAAGGTAGCACAGACAGCTTGAGCATTCAGGTGCACTTGAGGCTACTGACTTGGTACTCTGTGTCTTCTGCCAGTAATGCTGACCTAGTCCAGTTTTCTGGGATTAGTGATCCTTCCCTTTCTACTTTCCTTCCTTCCACAGGATTCTTACTGAGAAACCATCTCTATTTTACCCCTCAAATAAAAAGGTAGAAAGAAATAAGAGACTGAGGGATTTTGTTCAGCCATTTTTTTCAGACAAGGCAAATATTCACAAAACCACTTAACAGAAGGGCATTCCTGAGTGCATGAGGTTGTCCTGTGAATGCCACGAAAAAGAAGATGGTCCCACCAAGACACTAACCTTGCTTTTAATTTCTAGATCTCTCCCATGGGCTCTGTGAGAACCTCTGTGACCCTAAGTCATGCTTCAGTTCACACCTGAAGCCCTCTGATGACTGAAAACAACAGGGATGCTCCTAGGATAAAAGAGTTGGTTATAATTGGACATTCAACACTCAACATTAATAATCTCAATCTCATTCCTCGCTTTGTGCTGTAGGGTAACAGCTCTAGGGTAGCAAGTATTGCTAAAGCAAGAGCAGACTTCCTACCCAGGGCACTCAAAATTAGTGATACTTACACTCTCTCTAATCAAAGCACTGCATTCAGTACACCAATGTTAAGATTCAACAAATACCTCTGAATCTGTCACTGTCCAGCAAAGCAGTGTTTAGAGACCAATGAAATTGCTCTCAACGAATAAAGTACTAATTTAGTCATCATGGTAGTGTCTGGCTCTCACAGTGAGCAAAGCTGCAGTCTGCTAATGCCACGGGGTCTGCTTCCGGACAGAAATTGCTCAGTGATATTATCAGCTGTTGTAAAATGTCTTGGTCACGAAGTTAATCATTAATTCAGGTCACCATCTCATAAAAACATCATATTGTAAGAGCACAACACGCTTAAAGCTAACTGTCACTAATCAATCATGCATACAACAGCAATAAAGCAACACATAAAAGGAGCCAGAAACTCAGCAAAACCTTCAGCTAAGGGAAGACAAACTGCACCGAGGTTTATCTCCATGGAGAAATCCACTGACAAGCTCAACCATGAAAATGGATCGACAGCTCCTGGAGTACCACAGGCTGAAAAGGACAGTCCTGCGCCCACTGCAGAAGGTGCTGCAGAAATGAGCAGAGCAGGACCCCTAACAGAAAACACTGCAGATGTGAAGAGACTGGGATTCACTGAAGAACGTAATAAAGAAATTGAGACACCTTCAGGCACAGAGCGAGGCAGTCCTGATGCCTTTAAACCATCGATTTCAGAAAGAGACTGTCCAAAGTCAAAGCCTCTCATTATGCTAATGAACTCAAACTCTCCCAAAGTACACAGTTTTGAAGTGAACCACCAGTGTTCAACCACAACATCTACTGATATGGACTGCCTAGTCTGCTTCAACAAGTACAACATCTACAGAGTACCAAAGCTCCTGGACTGCCAGCATGCCTTCTGCGCAGTCTGCCTCAAGCTTATCCTCAGGAAAGAGGAGAGTACCTGGATAATCACCTGCCCCCTGTGCAGAAAAGCCACTTCTGTGTCAGGAGGACTCATCCGCACACTTCAAAATAAAGAAGACATCATGGAGCACTTGGAAAATCCCGATTCTAATCCTGAGGTACATGTCTCTGCCATAGGGCTAGACAGCAATAGCTGGACTCAGACCAGCCAAGATGCTTTATACAGAGATGAAAACGTTCCAGCAGACAACAGACTGGCTATACAGAGACTTGTGCTGCTCCTGCTTCTTGTGGTGATTCTCACTATCGTCATCCTTCCGTTTATATACTCAGGTCTGATAAAATGGGTAATTTGTCTCCTGCTTACTTTGGGGTTGGTCATGTCTATAGTGCTTTGCTGCACTCCTAAATTCTACTGGAGGTGTAACAGGGAC